AACTAAACACCAATTTAAGAATTTAGAAATACAAAATAATTATGATGAACCAGTGCGGCAATAAAATAATATAGATAACCGTTTCAACCATAGCAAGCTTATTAAAAGCTATCAATAATATTTATAGGATTTAAGATGAGATCCTCTATAACCATCTTCACACAAAGCGGCCCCGCCGCCTCACCCGATGTATGCAGGTGGAGGTGTACGTATGATACCACAACTCTAATCAAGTGGCTCTGCCGCCTCACCTCAATGTATGTGGGTAGATGTATAACCACAGTACCAAGAACCTACACAAAGCGGCTATGCTGCCTCACTCCAATGTATGCGGGTGGAAATGCATCAACGATACCAATACCAACACAAAGCGGCTATGCCGCCTCACCCCAATTTATGCAGGTGGTGGTTCCACAACAATACCAAATCCATACACAAAGCGGTTGTACCGCCTCACCCCAATGTAAGCGGGTGGAGGTGCAGTCCCACAATATCATAATCCCTACACAAAGCGGTCATGCCGCCTCACCCCAATGTATACAGGTAGAGGTGTATCACAATCACAATCTCTACACAACTTGGCATAATACCTTTCACATAAATCATGACTAGAAATTATAACATGTGGATACGTAATCCATAGTTTAGGACACATCCTCAATTTATAATGCAATATGATAAGAGCATTTGAAACACGGATTGAACATATATCTTCATCACAAAACTTATCGGAATACTCGATTTATAATCAACATGTCGGAACTTACAAGGATAATAAGAATTCCAACTCTTAAAGAAGAGTTTAGCCAACACACCTCAATTGAGCTTCATTAAACTCTAAAACTTTCCGGAATTCTTAGCAACTTCAATCTATTTTAGAAATATAACATATTGAACCACAATTAGGAAGTTGATTATGGTTCTAGCTCATTTGAGCATTTTATCAAACACTAGGTGTGCATTAAGGTTTCAAGGCCCTTTTTATGGAGGATTCCATCATCCCACAACCCAATCTTTACCATTTTTAGCTCAACAATCTTCATACACCCTTTGATAACACATGCATGTAAAATAACCAATCCTCTTGCCCAAAACTTATCTTGCTTATTATCCATTTCTACGCAAAATTCGAAATTGAGGGTTAGGGTGTAGAATCTTACCTCTAGGATAAAGACCTAGTGAGTTTTCCTTCTTAATCTTCAAAAACTTGGGCAAGAATTGAAGGACAAATATTGGAGAACACCCTCTCACTCTAGGGCACCCTCTCTTACTCTAAAATGTCATATAATAGCTCAAAAATGACCCAAAGAGTGTATTTAACGAAATAGGGTCGGGTTTAAAAAACCAAAAAATGGAGCTCCGGAACAAGGTATGCGATCGCATAACCAATATGCGGACCGCATATCGGTCGCATAGTTGGTTACAAAATAGCCAAAAGAACTGTCTGTGTATGCGATCACTATGCGGTCGCATAGTCAACCGCATAGTTGCTTCCAACTGACCCAATTAACTACCTCACTCTGCGGCCATTATGTTGTCCGCTGAGCGGTTCTGCGGTTGCATAATGGACCGCAGAAATGAACTTTTCAGCCAAATATTTTCCTTTTCATTCCCGTGTATTTTTCAAACACGTAAGCCTAGTCCAGTACCATGAAACATTATTTTCTTTGCCAATTTTACCAGGCCTTACACTTATGTACTTTGAAATTTTCTAGGGTGTTACAATTTTGACTTATTTGCACATTATTTGACTAGTTTCGGATCGTTTGTCTTGGAGTTGAGTGTTAGAGTGGCGTTGGAGTCGGTTATGGAACTTTGGAGCGAGATATGTCTCTTGTCTAACTCTGTGATGGTAAGCTACCCCTAGGTGATGTATTTGATATATGCTACTTGTTGCGGGGGCTACGTACACACGAGGTGACGAGAGTCCATACGTAGCTAAATTCATGTTATTGTCCGGGTAGACTTAGGTTCACATCATGCTATAATTGTACCATAGGGGTTATCTTTGCTCATTTAATTCCTATATTTCGCATTACGACTTGAGACTAGACTTGCGTAGAGTAATAGACTTTCTATTGTAGATATTTGACGCGCTTCATGGTTATCCGCGGGATAATTGTACTCCTCTTACGAATTCCTCCCGCATTGTGCGCTTTCATAAAAAGGTTCCTTAAAGTTCCTAACTCGCACGTTTATTCGTAAATGGGGTCAAGGACCCGTTAAAGTTTATTATTCTAATGGGATCAGGTCGTTCGCCTCGGCAGTATAATAGATACATCTATGGTTCGGTTCGTTCGACCCTCGACAGTGCGCACTTTATGATGGGATCGGTTCGTTTGCCTTGGCGGGATTATCTATCACACTCTCATGGGAGAAGGTCATTCGCCTCGGCAATCAAATAGATGTATCTATGGTTCGTGTCGCTCGACCCTCGGTAGTGCACATATTATGATGGGATCGGGCCATACACCTCGGCATTTCTATAAAATAGTCTTATGAAATTGTGCGTAATGTTTGACAAGAAGCCAGTGCACCTGTGAGTTTTCCTGCTTTGAACTGTGATGACCTATCTGGTGAGGTCCAATGTATATATACTCCGACTAAGGAGGTAGCTGCTTAGTGAGAGCTTGAGTTTACCGTTCAGAGGAGGATTGTACCTCGTATTTATATTTGTTCATACCGCTTATCTGCTCTGCCCCATATTTATTTACTTCTTACTGTACCTGCCTTATTGGACCACTAGTAAGTGTCGATGTCGATCCCTCGTCACTACTTCTCTAGGGTTAGGCTAGATACNTATATATATATATATATATATGTTTCTAGTGGTCATCTGGGCGCAGAGGAGCGGCATTTGCGGAGACTTTACGGTGAGTTGCATTCCATGTTACGATCCACAACATACAGAGTCTCCATCATAGTTATTTATATTCTCCTATCTAACTTTTTTTCTAGACAGATGTTGTATTTTATTATATTTGGTAGTTAATGCTCATGCACTTGTAACACCGGATTTTGGGGGTTCCTACTGGTTGTTCGTTATTGTAGTTCACGTAGTTATTATCATTTTTACCCTGTAAATTCTATTTTATACTATTTAATTAATGGATATTTTGATTTCGAATGTAATAAAATGAGTAATTAAGTTGATCAATCACTGTTGGCTTGCTTGACGGCAGCGTTAGGCGCCATCACGGCCTTTAGTAGATTTTAGGTCATGACGCCGATTATACTTGATATGTCTTTCATGACTTGAGGATTTATAAATACAGGTTGAGCCCTTACTTGTTGAGATTAGCATGTGATATTTGAGGACTTATAATTGTTATTTTGGTAAAGGATCATTTAATTATTGCATCTTATTCTATTATTGATGTTGTATTTCATGCCTATTAAGTATTCTCCTACATTATGTATATTTCACACTAGTAAGAGTCGATATCGACCCCTCGTCACTATTTCTTAGAGGTTAGACTAGATACTTACTGGGTATACGTAGTTTACGTACTCACGCTACACTTCTGCACATATTATGCAGGTTCTGAGGCAGGTGCATATGGAGTTTGTCCGGGAGCGCATCCGCATTACCCGTAGGCTTAGTGGTGAGCTGCTTCTCATGCTCCGTTCCACAGAACCTGGAGCCTTTTCTTCTTATGTTTTTATCATTTCTATCTATTTTGTTTTAGCCAATAGTTCTTAAAGAGTTTTACATATTCTACTAGATGCTCGTGCACTTGTGACATCGGATTTTGTGAGTTCTAGTAGACAGTCATGTGTTTTGATTATTTAATTCACTATCTTACTTTCCCGTTTAGTTAATGCTTTACATTACTACGCTCACTTATTATTTTCGTATTAAGTAAAAATCAAATACTTTAAAAATATTAAAATGAGAAATTAAATGGGTAGTTCACCGTTGACTTTCCTAGCGGCGACGTTGGGCGCCATCCCGACCTATAGTGGAAATTGGGTCGTGACAAATAAGAAAAGATATTGACCACCAGATGAATAAACAAAGATAGATGAATCTGCACGACTATTCTGAAACCCATGTGATAGTAGAAAATAACAAAACTGACTAAACTATGCATGAGGTGCCTACTTGAGATCATATAATGCCTTATGTAGTTTGCAAACATAGTCTGGTCAGAGAGAATCAATGAACCCTGTGCCTGCTCCATATAGACAGACTCATGCAAATAACCATTAAGAAATGCATTTTTTTCAATCAAACTGACGAATATACCAACTACAAGAAAGAGCAATAGAGAGTATCGGACGTATAATAGTGGGACGAACAACGGGACTAAAAGTCTTACTATAATCCACACCAGGTGCCTGAGTATAAATCTTGGCCACCAATCTTGCCTTACAACGATCAAAAGAGCCATCAGACTTCTGTGTAACTCGATAGACCCATTTGCAACCAACAATATTAACACTAGATGGACGAGGAACAAGAGACTGCGTCTGATTTGCAAGTATGGCATTGAACTTTTCTGCCACAGCACTCTGCCATCTGGCATCCTTAACTACAGAGTTGAAACAAGTAGGCTCAACAGGCAAATTAGCCAAAGAAATGGAATTAAGAGCATACTTAGGATTTGGTTTAACCAGTCCACACTTTGATGGAGTAACCATGGTACGAGTAGAATTAGAAGTGGAAGTTGATGGCTCAATAATGAAGGTAGATATAGGAGATGAAACTGTACTAGATAACAGTAAGGACGAAGAATCTAAGGAGCTAGGAGGAACAAAAGACAAACTAGGAGATTCAACAGAAAAAGAGGTGGACAAAGAGGTAGTGGCAGAACTAGTAGACCCGGGTGTTGTAGGTGTAGGACTAGGTAATGCAGCAGGTACATGGAGGAGGATACGAGGCATAAAAGGACGAGGAGGTAGGAAATCAAATAAATGTGTATAGGAAAAACAATGCTCAATAAAGCAAACAAAGTGACTAATATAGGCACGGTTAGTACCAAGACATAGACACTGATATCCCTTGTGATTAGAACTATACCCTAAAAACACGCAAGGAGAAGAATGAGAGTCAAGTTTGTGAGAACGATAATGACACAAATTTGGATAACAAAGATACCCATAAGATTTTAAAATGGTGTAGTCAGGTGGAACCCCAAATAGGTTCTCATAGGGAGAGCTCTTAGCTAGAGAGTAAGAAGGAAGCGAATTAATAAGACAAACAACAATAAGAAAAGCTTCAACCCATAAAGAAAGAGGGGCATAAGCATGAAAAAGTAAAGTGTAAGCAACATTTGTGAAATGACGGTGCTTACGCTTACTTATACCATTTTGTTGAGGTGTGTGAGGGCAAGAAAATTGATGATGAATGTCATGCGAGTGAAGAAAGGAGATAAAGGAAGAACTTTGAGTCTGAACGAAATGCCTTAATAGACCCCCTAAATTGATTTTTAACAAGGTTTAAAATGGGTAAAACAAGATATGACATCACTTTTATGATGAATAGGATAAATCCATGTGTAACAAGTGAAATCATCAATAGAAATAACATAATAATGATAACCACTAACTGGGGGCACAGGGGACTGCCAAATATCAGAATGAATTAATTATAAAACATAATAAGTAGTTGAAGTACTGTAACGACCCGATCGATCATTTTAAGCATTTGCATTCCGTTTAGCTATTTGAATTCTTGAGCAGCATCGTGTGATGTATTATGACTTGTGTGAATCGTCGGTTTTGGGTTTTCGGGTTATTCGAAATTGATTTGGAGGAATGAATTTCATTATTGAAGCTTTAAAGTTGGAAGAGTTGATTGAGTTTGACTTTTTAGTATTTGACCTCGGATAAGAGTTTTGATGGTTCCGTTAGGTTCGGATGGTGATTTTGGACTCAGGTGTATGCCCGAATTTGCATTTGGATATTTCTAGAAGATTTCGGCACTAATTGGCGAAAGTTCGAAATTTGAAGGATTGGAAAGTTCATAAGTTTAACCGGGAGTTGACTTTGATGATATCGGGTTCGGATTGTGGTTGTGGGAATTTGAATAGCTTCATTATGTCATTTGGGACTTGTGTGCAAAATTTGAGTTCGTTCCCAGTTGATTTGATATGTTTCGGCGCAAGTTATGGAAGTTGAAAGTTCAAAAGTTCATTAAGTTTGATTTGAGGTGCGATTTGTCATTTCGATGTTGTTATGTGTGATTTGAGGCCTCGAGTAGGTCTGTGTTATGTTATGGGACTTGTTAGTATATTCAGACGGGGTTCCAAGGGGCCCGGGTGAGTTACGGACGTGTTTCAGATCATCTTTCATTCATGTATGATGGCTAGCCTTTGCTGGATCTGGTGTGACCTCACCTGCGGAGCCATGGGCGCAGGTGCAGAAATCGCAAAAGTGGCAGTTGTGTTGGGGGTAGGAGTCCGCAAATGCGGAGTTTTCTTCGCATCTGCGAAGGTGCAAATGTGGCGCATGAGGGCGCAGAAGCGAGAGGCAGTGCATGTACGTGAAGTTTGTTCGCACCTGCGTTTGTGCAAAAGCGGAGATTTACCGCAGGTGCGATGGGCTGGTTGGTAGTGCTCTTCCGCAGGAGCGAGAATTTGGTCGCATGCATGAGTACGCAAATGCGAACGACACTGGGCAGAAGCTATATTTTCGAGGGTTGGTCGTTTTATTCTCATTTTTGAGACTTGGAGCTCGGTTTTGGGTGACTTTGAAGAGGAATTTCATCACACAAATTGGGGTAAGCATTCTTAACAGTTTTGATCATATTTCACTAATCTATACCCGTTTTTGGCATTTGGTTGATGATTTCGAAAGAGAAATTTGGGTTTTGTTTCTAAAGTTTCATAGAGTGAAGTTTTGAGTTTTGAATATCGATTCGAAGTCGGATTTGAGTGAAACTAGTATGGTTGGACTCGTAATTGAATTGGTTGTCAGATTTTGTGGGTTTCATCAGGTTTCGAGGTGTGGGCTCGAGTTTGACCCTTTGGTTGACTTTGGGCTTTTGATTAAAGATTCGACCTTTATCGATTGGAATTGTTTCCTTACGCATTATTTGATGTATTTGAGTTGCTTTTGGCTAGTTTTGAGCCGTTCGGATGTCGGTACGCATGGTATGGCATTTTTGGAGTATCGTTTGGCTTGCTCGGTGTTGAGGGTATAAATCCCTAAATATGTGTGTTTTGTGTTTAGTGTTGAGGTGACGCACATGCTAGGTGACGGACGTGTGGGTGTGCACCGTGTGAATTGTGACTCAGTTATTTCTGTGGTACTATGTAGTTACCTAATCTTATCTGTAACCGTGAAATCTCTACGTGCTAGTATAATTAAGTTATGATCCATGTTAGAAATCATGCTTAGGACACATACTGGTACTGTTGAGACCCACGGAGGTCGTGTTACATGTTGAATTAATAGCTTAATTTGAAATTTATACTCGCTCACGGCTACTATTTGCATATCATATCTCAGTCTTTGTTGTGCTATATTCATACATCATATCATCATTGTTTGGGCTGATTATCATGATTCTTGTGAGCCTGAGAGACTGGAGAGATTGATGACTGAGTGAGGCCGAGGGACTATTGTGAGTGATATTTATGGGATCGGGCTGCTCGTCGCAGCAGGCTTTATTGATTCATACCAAGATTTGGCTTATTATAGCGCTTGGGCTGGATCAGCCCCTCCGGAGTCTGTACATCCACAGTGGGCGCAGTTGCTATGAATTTTTGGGTTGGATCTGCCCTGGATTCATTTGCATTGAGCTGGATCTGCCCTGGATTCATTTGCATTGGGCTGGATCTGCCCTGGATTCATTTGCATTGGGCTGGATCTGCCCTATACAGTACTGAGTGACTGAGTGTGCTGAGTATTGAGCATGGTGAGTGAGAATACGAGGCAGTGAGATTGAGTACTCTTAGAGTGTGAGTACATGAGTTCATCAGTGAGATGCATTGCATTTGACATGCGTACTTGAGATACAGGCATAGAGATGCATTTCCTCATGCTACCCAATTTTGGCGACATTCATGATTTCTCTTGCATATCGACATATAGGTATAGAGATGTACTTTTTTCATGCTATCTGAAAATGAAACATCTTAATTATTATTGAAAGATTTGTTTGGGAAAAAATCTCAGTCTTTCGAACTTACTCAAATCTTTGGTGATTTGGTGAAAGGAATTGAGTTTTACTAGCATCTTTGAAAAACATGCCTATTTTCCTGTAATTGTTAACGAGTTGAGCATCATACCTCTGAGTTATTTCTCTTGCACCACTTTTATTATGTTGTTATGAACTGTTGCTGGTTATTGGAGTTGGACTCTGACCCTTGTCCCAGCTCGTCACTACTTTCAATATAAGGTTATGTTTGTTACTTATCGAGTACATGGGGTCGGTGTACTCACACTACACTTCTGCACCTTGCGTGTAGATGTTGGATGCTGATGTTGTTGTGTACAGTGGGAGCTGGATGTGAAGATATACCTGCATTCCAGTTATGGCTATCACTTGTCCTTGGTAGCATTAGATTCGAATTCTGTTCATTTACATTTCAAACAGATATTGTAATTATTTCAATTTAGTTTTGTAAAAATCTAAATCTTAGAAGCTCATGATTTGTACTACCTGTCCCTGGGATTTTGTATAAAAGTTCGCTTATTTCATCATTATTGTCTCATCAAATTTCAATGGAATCGATTTATTGTTAATTGGCTTACCTAGCGGGGTGGGTTAGGTGTCATCACAACTAGTTGAATTTTGGGTCGTGACAATTTGGTATCAGAGCTCTAGGTTCATAGGTTCTACAAGTCATGAGCAAGTGTCTAGTAGAGTTTTGCGGATCGGTATGATGACGTCTATATCTATCTTCGAAAGACTATAGGGCATTTAGGATAAACTTCCCATCTTTCTTTCCTTATCGTGCGACGTTGATTCATCTTGAAGCGTAACTCTTTGAATTCCTTCCACGCGCTCGTATGCGCACGTGAGCGCTCAATATCAGTTGTACATCGACGACTTGTAGTTCTATGGATGAGGTGCGAGATGTAATTTCTGTGTGCTGATAATGGGCCAGTCCGGAGGACTTGAGGCCAATTTTGACTATAGCTTGAGCATGGGGATTTCAGTTATGTGAGCATGTGCTTTTGGACTTATAAGTCTGGTAGTGTCCCTATTAATGGAATTTGTGGCTCGATGAGTGGCTGGATGGCTATATGACGAGTATGATGTGACTGCGGGATGTGTTCAGGTGGTTTGAATGTGACGAGAAAAGTTTGCTTGGGATGTGAAAAGGACTATTGGGTGCTGTCTTGATGTGACGTATAGTCTCGAGTTATGAGTGTGTTGAAGGATCTTTCATGTTGTTTAATTGTGGAACGAATTATATTCTCAGGTCTTGTTGATGAGTTCAGACTCAGGAAAATTAGGTGATTGCTTAGTAGTTATGGCTGTGAAAGGGTATAGCGAGATGTCAGTTTGAGGCTAAGTAGGTGGATTATCACCTACGGGGTAATCTACGGATGTGTGGTCCGTATGATGTTGGGTGGAGGCTTTCTTTTCTACCAGTGGGTTACATTTGTGCGATTTGAGTTTAGATAAGTTGTAATAGATGACATGGCTGTCACGAGAATGAATGCGAGCTTAGCAGATGATTTGAGGT